TGAAATGATTTAAATATTATTAATATAACATTAATTATTTGAGACAATTACTTTGAAAGGAATATATTCTTTGGAATGAATGGACATAAAGGGAACGAACGGTGAATCGGTTAGAGAATGAAAGTCGTAAATAAGACGGTGTCTGGCGGGGTTAAAATTAGATTATTAGTAGATTTTGATAGAAATTTTTGAAATGTATGATCGAAAAATTGTCGATCCATGAAAGATGTAGATAATAATAATTGTTTAACTTTGACTCATATTAAAACCTGAGTTAAATAAGGACTAAAACTACAGGTGAAATCTTGACTTCATGAAAGTCCAAGACTACAGGAGAAACAGGGACGGATCCAGGATTTGATCCAATATCGGGCTATAAAATTTCAAACTGAGCTACAATGTGAAAAAAAAAATTTTACACACAAAAAACTGATTTTTTAACAAAATAAAAAAATAAAAAAATACCTTTAAAATTGGGCCTGAGTGGGGCGGGGGGGGGGGACTATAGCCCTGCCCTGCCCCCCCTCCAAATCCGTCCCTGAGTGGAGAAATCTTTGTAAACACAAGAACTTATTCGACCTTTACCGCTCATCGAACGAATCCTTGTACTGTGATTATCTTATGCGGTCTTTGTAATTGTGGTTAACTATTTTTAAGAGAAAATTGATCAGTAAACTCCTGAATCTCATGGAAGTATCTAGAATAAAAAAATTATAAATAAAAAGAAATTTCAGAATGACAAATGTACAGTACAGATTTTCTTGTTAAGCAAAAAAAGGTATCTGCCAGCTGGACTCTTTTTGGTTTCCACACTCAAATGCCAGCTTTTGTCATGCATTGCGTAGGAATAAAGTTCTATATATATCCCATTAATTGCATTCTTTCGTTCATTCATTCATTCATCGTTTCAATTCAATTCATACCATATAATCAGAAATTTCCTGCATCTGTATTTTTGTATCGAAAGAGCAGCCATGTTGAGTCTTAATTTTGATATTGCTGAAGTTTACGTATTGAGGAAACTCAACAAAGAGAAGATCAACGGACTCCAAAAGAATACAAGTCAAGAAAAAGCATTACAAAACAGTGATGGATCATCTAGTTGCTTCTCTGGTCATGTGTTCAAGAAAGTTCATCCAACTCCTGTGTCAGAATCAGATTCTTAACTCAACCGAGCTACATCTATATCTATATCTATATATGAGTGTGTGTGAGGGAGAGAGATGGAGAGGGAAAGAGAGAGAGAGAGCTTGGTTTTATTAGATTAATGTAATTGTTTATCTTCTCTGGTTCCATTTGATGGGAGTTCTGAGGAGATCTGAATGTATGCTTTTCTGCAAAACTATATATTTGTTGTAGTTAGTACAACTTTAATGGATTAATTCGTTTTTATTATGTGAAATATATGACTTCAATTTACAGTTATCCCTTCTGTACTGTCAATAGATGAATGTGAAATAATATGCATATACTTGGCTTCAGTGCAAATTTGAAATTATACATATATATGTATGTATTATGGGTAATTTCCTTGCCATAATTTTGTTCAATCACGTTACAGTTATGAGAACATAGGTCCGGCAGCGCGGCCCTTGATCCAGGCAGAATTTGTGGGGTATGGTTGTAGGTTGGGTCATGTGGTGCACAGCCCAACAGCCACTAAATAGAAAGGAATGTTAATTGCAAAATAAATAAAAATTGTAAGAATGTGGTGGCACTTGTTATATGAATTAATACTAACGTGTAAGATTGGATATGATATTTTCTTGAAATATGAATTAACTATGTTTTGATCCTGTTGAGTTTTACTTTAAAAAAATGAATTTAGGGTTTGATAGTGTCGTATTTCATGAAAAATGTCACATTCGAGGAATTCGTATTCTGCTTTGGCTGTTTGATACGAAAGTGAAAATAGAATTCAAATTTCAATGTACAAACACTTAAAACATATCTTTTGTCAATTCCATGAAAATCGAATTCTTATAATTTTGACAGTTGTTCTTTTCTAACTTACATGGAATTGGTTTGCATTTTCTATTTTTGCTATCAAACGGACCCTTATAGTAAATTTTGATAAAAATTGTTGATCTCAATTTAAAATGAATTTTAAAAAAGACAGGTTTAGAAAATGGGAATCAAACGAAAGTTTCATTTTTCTTGAAATTGAAGTCTAGTTGGACATTATCTTTAATTAAATACCTAGGCAATATATATTGTTTGGGAATCACACAAAATGTTACATGTTGAAAGTGATTGCCACTTTGAGATGTCTGCCATGTATGGAAAAATATGCCATAAAAGTAAAAGGCCTACATCTCTACAATTATTAATTATAAAGAATTCTTAGGGTAATTGGAGGGAAATAGCCTAACGAAAGCTCATGGTTTATTCATGTATTATTATACGAGTATTTGGTTGGGATTAAAATTAAAATTTCTTTTATCAAAATTTTTGAAATGTGTGGTTGAAAAGTTATGAATTCTATGAAATATGTGATTAAAATTTAATGTTGACTTTGAATTGAGATTTTAATTAAATTTTAATCCAAAACAAACAGGGCCTATATTTCTGTTTCATAATACCTTGATGATGATATTAAGGAAGGTGGATCTTGGACAATATTAACTAGGAACTAATATATTAGCCTACTAGCAATCTCGAAGGTACTTTAAGGCAAGCTGACTTAAGCATGATACAGAATAAATTCAATGTAATATATATTTAAGTGGACATGTACGATATACAGTATACGCATGAGATTATATAGTGCAACAAATAAATTTTCATTTTTTTGATTTTATTTTTTACATTTTAAAGGAATCAAGTTATAGCATAGCACATTTTCATAGAACCACACTTGAGAGCAAGCACAGAGAATTTCAAAACATTTCAAACTAGTAATAGTATTTTGTGACTAGAGTAATAAAGAAAAAGTTCTATAGTCATGTAATTTACACATAATAACTGTCATATCAATATAAATAGCAATATTACTAAAAGCCAGGATGAGACACACTCGATCAATGATATGTACTCTAAATATTTTTACGAAGACTTGTTAACTCTCACATAGGTGTTTTGCTCGTTAGCTTAATTAGTTTATGTTACTTCGTATTTCTAAATGGTGGAATGATAGTTTTATTTGTTTAATTAGAGTAGATTAATCATTTTGCTATTAGACCATTTAAGCTCTTGTAATCGCCCTTTCGTGCTTAACTAGTGATTGGAATCCTAGCCTTCCTTTCCTCTTTTCTTCTATCTTGCTTGAAATAAAATTAAAAATAAATAAATAAATAAAATTCACATGATACTATGAATACTTTTCTCAAACTCTAGATAGACAGCACATGCGCTATTAGGAATTAGTGTTCATTATCCTTCTTGTGAGAGAAACTTTGATAAGGCGGCTAAAACACCACGGTGTGCCACCTCGGCTGGTGGCGCACCACACACCCCTCAAGGTGTGTGGACCACCAGCTGAGGTGGCGCCTCGAAATTGGGGTGAACTCGTCCCACCAAAGATTTAGTCCCTTCTCGCGGCTTTCTTCATTTGCGGAGTTGATATTTGACTAGGCCCTTGTATTTGTTTGAGGTACTATTATGTTGGTGGTTGGTTGTTGATTTTTGGGTTGAACTTTGTGGTGCGCTCGCCCCACCAAAGATTTAGTCCCTTCTCGTGGCTTTCTTCATTTTCGGAGTTGATATTTGACTGGGCCTTTGTATTTATTTGAGGTACTATTATGTTGGTGGTTGGTTGTTGATTTTTGGGTTGAACTTTTTATGATGGCTAGTGCAAATGATGATTCGCTTCAATCGATAAATTTGAGTTTAGATGGTAAAAATTATTTATAATGGAGTGTTGAGATAAAGAAATTTTTGAAGGTTTAATTAATGTGGGATTATTCATATTGGAGTGTTAGTTACACGTTGGATCCGAGTGATTATGATTCATCATGTGTAGAAATTTCTTCAAATGCAATATAATAAAATCAATGTTGCTTGGCATTGACGAGGAGTGTTGATGGGTTTATGGTGTCAAGACACCAATGTACAAAATTAGACTTGCCCAAATTTTTTATCTCTAAACCATAACAATTGAAATGTGTAGTCTACAACTATGGATGCACAACAAATATGATATTAGGTAAGAAATGAGTTCATCTTTGTGAAAATTATGGTATTACATTCATTTTGAGTCTTGATTATTTCTTGTTATTTATTCAGTTATAATTAAATGTGTACATAAGTAGTTGAGACCAATTACGCTCATACTTCTGTATTTTCTACTACAATTTTTCATTATCTCAATATATTATTGAGACCAATTATGTATAGTTTCAAAAAATAATGATGATGATGATGATGATGATGAATTAAGTAATTTAAAAGCAAATGTTGTAAAAATTAAATTAATGCCACAAAGATACATACTACAATAATAAAATATCTCTACTATTGTTAGGAAGAATTATGATCATGCTCCTCAACCTTTGAAATAGTGTGAAATTATATCCCTAACCTCTAAACGTGACATTTTAACCCCCTAACCAATTCAACATTGTGGAATTGAGGGCCTCATTGTTTTCGCTTCTATCCTGATTTTAATTGTTTCTCTGTCCATTGCCCGTCGTATTTTGTTGACTTCCTTCTCACACTTCTCTTTGGCAACGGTCCAAAAAGTGCTATTAATTTTAGCAAAAAGCTTTACCAAAAAAGCACTGAGTTTCCATGTGATTGAAACTAACAATATGGATATTATAATTATTGGAAACCCGTCAAGCTGCAAATATTTCTTAAATTTTAACGTGAAATTCATGTGCGGCTTCAAATTTCATATTTTCAGTTTTCATCGCTGAGACATACTTTTACATAATTGAATATGTTAGGGTGTTAAAATATTAACTTTAAATATTAGATGGCCATTTTCACAGTAACTGAAAAGTTGGGATTTGGCCCTAATTTTTCCAAAATTATTGCGTTTACGTTTTGTTATAGACAGAATACCAAACTGAGGTTTAAAGGATGATGTCAGTGAAGGTCAATTGAAGAAGTCACAAAAATCTCAGTTCCCAGCTTCGGCTCAACCGAATTCTTCACTAACAAAGAATTTCTTTTCAAATCTTGTGTTATCAATTTTGTTAACACATTTGAATCTTCAATGGAGTTGGCTTCTGCTTCTCTCAACTCTTTCAATGCCTTATCCGTTCGACCGCCGCCTCACACTTCCAGAAACTCCTCTCATTTGCTATCTCTTTTCAGACCTTCAATTCGAAGAAATTTACGGTATTTATCTTCGAAATTTACAGGTAACATTTTAATTTTGTTAGCAATTATTTTTGGGATTTTCATTTCTAGTTTTTTGAATATTAGAGTTTGTAATGACTTTGTAGAACGTCCTCTTTTTAATTCTGTGGTAGTTGTGTGACTAGTTTTATATTTTTTTTTCTAAATATTAATGTGATTGGTATAATTTTTGGGATTTAACTTTAGTATAAGGATTTCATTGTTGAGCTAAGGAGTAATAGGAATACTTGCATAGTATTTAAGGTCATAAATATGGTGCCTAAATTTGTCTGTAATCAATTCAAATTTGAATGGGATCCCATCTAATTTAATTTTTTTGGGCTCTAATTCAGACACCTAACATCTATATTCAGCAGAGATGGTTGTGGACTGTGAAGTAGAAATAATTTTGTTCAAGTTGGAATAGAAGGAAGGCTTAGTCGAGCTTAGGAGAGTGAAATTGGGGGTCTTGGATATGGAAATGGAAGTGCTACAGGCGGAGAAAGTGAGAAAAAAATTTAGGTGTAATTTTGGGAGAAAGAATATAATTTCAAATTCCCAAATGTGAGCTTAGTTATTAGATGACTAGGTGGGAATTCGCCGAGGGTGAGAAATTCTCATGCTTAAGGTATGCTAGTACTTTACTTATTCTAAATTTTATTACCTACGAAGAAATGTTAGTTTAGTCCTTTATTTTTCTTATTTTATCTTCTAACGTAGTTTAACCTTGAACCTTGTTGGTGATTTTACTCTACTAATTATAAGCTTGTTCGTACGTGCTTCAATAATTTTGAATGGATGGTTGTAATGGCTTTCATCTATGAATTACTGTATCAAATTTTGTTTTTGAGGGAAAAGATTCCTGTTTTTTTTTTAAGCAACAGTCTACAGTTATTCCTCTGTAATCGGATTTTCTATTGTCAGATGATACAGTTAGGATACAATGTTCCTCTATTGGGGCTATTGTTGGTAATGCAACTGCAATAACAAATGATTTTGCTGAAGATCATACAACAAATGGTGTACACCTCCATTCCAACTATGACAATGAACCTTCAACATCAAATGAGGAAGATCAAGAGGATAAGGATGTCACAGATGGTAGATTCAGTGACGGTAAAATGATCCGCATTTGTGATAAGCTAATCAACATCTTTTTGATTGACAAGCCCACCCCATCTGATTGGAGAAGGCTGCTGACTTTTATCAAGGAGTGGAGCAATATCCGACCCCACTTTTACAAGCGGTGTCAAGACCAAGTGGATAATGAAAGTGATCCGGGGATGAAGCACAAGCTACTCCGCCTTGCAAGAAAGCTGAAAGAGGTGTGACTTTTCTCTTTGGCCTAAAATTAGTTGATTTGGAACTCCAAAATCTTTCTAAATGTTCTTTGTTATTTATTTATTTATTTTTTTTTCAAAATTTAAAATAGAATGAAAGACTCTACTTGGTGAAAAATTGGTTCTTTTGGAATCGATTTCAAACTATATGCTAGAGATTGTTGATTTAATATTCTATTAACTCTAAAATCAGTGTCATTGGATCTTGCCTTGTGCGTTTAGCTGTACCGTTCAGAAAAGAATGATTAATTTTGAATCATCCTTCTTGTATTAGGGATTTTCTTGACCAATATGATTGCTTCTTACTTTTGCAAAAACAAATGACATTTGGTGAAGGTTCAAGGAGTAGAAGATTGTATGGACTTATGAGCTTCAAGGGTGTATGATCATTTATTTTTACTTGTGTTCGGATAACAAATTTGTAATCTTCTAATATCAGTGTCATCGGATCTTGCCTTGTGCGTTTAGCTGTACTGTTCAGAAAAGAATGATTAATTTTGAATCATCCTTCTTGTATTAGAGATTTTCTTGACCAATTTGATTGCTTTTTACTTTTGCAAAAACAAAGGACATTTGATGATGGTTCAATGAGTAGAAGATTTTATGGATTTATGAGCCTCAAGGGTGTTTGATCATTTTTTTAACTCGTGTTCACATAACAAAGTTGTAATCTTTTTGCATGATATATAGTTCATAGCTAAACATTCAGCTCCTTCTGTAGGAGTTAATTTGAAGTTTATTTTTCAGATTGATGATGATGTTCAAAGGCATAATGAGCTTCTTGAGGTGGTCAAGAAGTCGCCGTCCGAGGTTGGTGAAATTGTCGCTAGGCGTCGCAAAGACTTCACAAAAGAATTTTTTGTTCATCTGCAGACTGTGGCAGAATCTTACTATGATAATCCAACAGAACAAAATGGTGAGACTATGTAGCCTATTTTATATTCTATTTTTTCCCCCGTGTGCTTTCATATTTACGAGGTTGATATATATCTGGCTTACATCAAGGACTGATTTATTAGTTTTTTGGTAATGATATGAAGGTTGCTTTACATGCCAGAATGATACAGATTGAATTATGATAATTACAATATGGATCAGACTTATATCGTTGTCCTCTTCACTTGATGGTTCTTCATTCTCTGGATAAAAGATCCAGAATTTGGAAATCTTATTAGCAATTGAGTCGTTGACATGAATCATTATTTACCATTTTATAATCTGAAATTATTTCTTTTTGAATCATTAGAAGAAGTCAATCTTTAACATCCTCCAACGGATGCTAAGTTTCTTCATCTCTCCTTCTAATAATTTCTTATGAGATTGCAATACACTTCTCAAGGATTCTTCTTTATGTTTCTGCAAGGCATACCTCCACCATTTAAGACATCATTCCTTTATTTTTCCATATTCACTTGCTGGAGTATAATTACTTGTTGCCATTTTATTTTTTTTAAACTTACTCATTTCTTATTTTCTCCACTATAGTATGGTTCCACATCCATCTTAACAACATTAGTTACGTTTGAATCGGTTAACAGTCAGTACCATGAAGCTTTGTTCGTCTAAGAACTGCTTTATATTGTATAGGTTCTTTTTTAACAGTGGTTATCTTCCAATCATATGGAATACTTATAACATTTCGTCCTTTCTTCCAACCAGCCCTTATTCTAGGGATTACATTCTCTTCACTTCCTACTTTACTCTTACCAATTAAATCTACTTATCTAAAATAATTGGCCTTTGGGATAATTGGTCCTTTATTTTAGCTCCATCTGTATCTTTATTTCTAATAGGACTATAATGATTTTTAATATATTATATAGTTGTCCTTGAAGTGCTATTCTAAAGTTCTATTACTACTATATATTTGCAGCTATTCAAGAAAATATGACTCGGTAATTAAAGTTATGATCGGACCAATTACAAGAAAAGACCTCACAATATCCTTACAATTCATCCCGGTTAAGCTCACAAACCTGTACTTGGATACCTTTAAGCTCATCCATGACTGATATGTAATTAGGACTAGAGAAAACTTTCATACAAGCCTATTGTAACACAATTCCTTGGTACTGCCCTACTATATGTGACCATACTTGTTTAAAAGAGTATGAGGCCTGTTGCATAGTCCAACTGCTTTTAATGTGATTTAGAGTAGATGGAAGCTATTTTTGTTCACTGACATTTGCATTGAGCAATGACTAACTTACCAGGCTAGACATGCTGAATCCTTCCTGCATGTTTTGGATATGAATTATTACAGTTCTATATTTCGTCAATTATTGACCAACTAGCACTTGTAACATGTTAGATATCTTTTTATTTTTCCTTTTACCATTAAAGGATTTTTTTTTATTTGAGTATCAAGCTATTTTTGCTTTACTTGCTCTACAAATTGGAGACTTACCTTTAAATCCTGAAATAAGAATCACATATGAACTTTACGTCTTTTTATTCTGTTGGCTGTACTTCATTAAACAAACTATTGCATTATGCAATACTTATCACCTACGGCACAATAGATTTGTGGCATAATAAAGTGTTCTGAAAACTCTACAATTATTGTCTTAGATTTATTTATTCTTGAAAAAAAAATTTACCTGGATTTCGGAAACATAGATAATTAAGACACATGCTAAATGAAACATTTCTTCTCTTCTAACTCACATGGGTTGGGGTTACTGATAAAATGAATTGGTGCTATTAAATATACAAATCCCTGAGATGGTAAATATCCCTGTGGCTCTTACTGAACAAGAAACTGTGCAGCTTATATTAAACCATCCGTGTCCCAGTCTGGCCTATTCTGTTCGGACATTGTTGTGATGGTACATTGATCATTATCCGCTCATGATGTATGTTTTCCTTCTCCTTTAGTGATAACAAGAGAGACCTTTTTTCATTTGAGGAAAAAATCCATTTGACACTTCCCGTTGTTATTCTTCTACAAATAATTTTTATTTTATTTTTCAGATAACTTCGGATATAAATTAAACCTTGGTGTCTTTATTGTGCTCTTGTTATTCCTGATATACTTCCACGTGAGGACACACACTGCCTCTTCCCCCTCCTGTCCATAATTTCCATCTGAGCTTTGATTGAACCTTGGATACTGTTTCTATGTTCCGTGTCATAACTTTCTCTGCCTTTCAGCCTGTTGATTGCTCCTTGAAATAGTGAAGCCTGATCTCAATTTTGAATTGTATTCGGATGTTTATGCAATGTTTTTAATTATACTACTTGGAAGCCAGTCCAGTATAATCTTTCATCCGAAAGCTGACTAGGACAGGATGCAGAATTTTGAAGTTTTGCTTATAGTTGCAATTAAGATGATTTGTGACATTATATTTTCTCTCTCTGTGTGTGGATGAATAGATGTGGCAAAGATTGGTAATATGTGCTTAGCTGCTGTACAAGCTTATGATACTGCTACCGAAAGTATAGAAGCGATCAATGCTGCAGACTTGAAATTTCAAGATATAATTAATTCTCCCTCTTTAGATGCTGCTTGCCGGAAGATAGATAATTTGGCTGAGAAAAATGAACTTGATTCAGCATTGGTTCTCATGATTACAAAAGCTTGGTCAGCTGCTAGAGAGTCGAACATGATGAAAGACGAGGTACATTTATTGATCTCCTTATTGCATGCTCTTCTTTCTAAATTTAACAAATTGAAGTAGTTAGAGAAAATTTATAGTATTGAGGAAATTTTTGGATTAAAACCTCACTGCTGTTTTGAATTCTAAAGGACTAGCATTTGTCAAAAACATCTGAAAGGACATGCATATTCTCATTCGCCTGCAGATAATGTGTTTCTTATTAACAAGTTTTCTTCTTTTATCAGGTGAAAGACGTATTGTATCATTTATATAAGACAGCAAGAGGTAATCTTCAGAGGCTTATGCCAAAAGAAATCAGGATACTCAAATACCTGCTTACAATCAAAGACCCTGAGGAGCGAATTAGTGCTTTAAAGGATGCTTTTACCCCGGGGGAGGAACTTGCAGGAAAGGATATAGACTGTCTATACACGTATGCATCTTGAACCTAACCCATTAGTCACCCAGTTTTTATCATTGTTTCATTTTGGTTGCCTAACTTCCTTTTTTTTTTTTCTAAATATCTGATTTAGTGTAGAGTTTTTAATTTATTTTTGTTTTGCATTATGTCTGTTGAGTTCACGAAATGCTAAATGGATAATGGAAAATATGACGTGGATTGGGAAATCCATTAATGCATTGTTTTTATCGTCTAGTTGGAAAAAATGTGTCTTGTTTGTTGGATTACCGGTGCTTTCGAAATGCACCTTTCTAAAGAAATAATGAAAGAGAAGAAAAACTTTGCAAGAAAAAAGAAAGATCATAATGGCTTTTGCCTAGCTGGACGATAAAAACAATGCACTAACCAGATTTACCATCCTTGTTATATTTTCTATCAACCACGTTGTCATTTATGTTAATTTGGCACCTAGAGGTCAAACGAGTGTCTAAACATGAACAGAAATAAAGGTTGAGCAACTAATTTGGAACAAAAAACGTTTGGTGATCAAAATGAAAAGACTCCATGAATTGGGAGACTGAAGTGTTTTTAACCCCCATAATTTATCTGCAAAAACTTGGTAGAAGACACGGTATGAAGTATGTAGCTGTTCTCGACATGCCAATCAGGCAGTTACCTAGTTGTCTCGGGCACATGTGAGGATTACTTGTTTAGGCAAATTTCAAATGATTTTCTGATTGATCCTTCCCTGTAACAAAATTCTTACAGGACACCAGACCAGCTACACACCTGGATTACGACTGTGGTTGATGCATATCAATTCAGCAGAGAGGGCACTCTTATAAGAGAAGCAAGAGATTTGATGAATCCAAATATTATCCAGAAACTGGAAGAATTGAGAAAATTGATCCAAGATAATTTCATGTAAGCACTTTTTACTGTCTAGAATCTTTCTTCGATCATCTGTTTCAGCATCTCGTCTTCTGAGCCCCTCGAAGTGAGCTAAAGCAATAATTATGGTGATGATAAAGTAGATACTTGGCCTTCTTTTGTGACTTTGAAGCTCAGCCCTGAAATTTTTGCAACATAACAGCCTGATCTTGCAAAATGACTAATTGATATGTGGTTATGCTGCAAGACAGTTTAGCTGTTCTTGGTTGTGTGCAAAACTTTAATGCATGATGGAATAGGCATTGGGCAACATATTTGGTAAATATGACACTTGTAGTTCACTTAGTCTGGGATGATGATTCTTATGTGAGTTTATGTCTTGAAAAGTGAAAAACACACTGCTGAAAATTTCATGTTTGCTTTTGTTAGATGTCTGGTATTAATTTTGAAGTTAATCCATCATAATTTGTGACATAAAGAAGGACATTGAACTAGGATGGAAGTGTTGGATATTTTCAAAAATGTTAGCTCAATGCTTTTATGAAATGGGTTGTTGAAGTTAGATTGATATAAAGTGGGCTATATTGGGAATAGTATTGGGCATCCCTCGCCATCCCCGTCTTGGCTGATCGTGTTGGGCATGGCACGCTATGTACATTAAAAATTTATGGAGCTTTGCACGATTAATATTGGGTCGTCGACCAGCACATACGACTATGGTTTATAGGAGCCAATGAGAAAAGCAACATGGCCAACGAGCTTTCCTGCGTCGACCGGGGCCTAGAAGTACAAGGATTTCGGGGCTTCTTGTTATGCTACTTAATAAATTCATTTTTTAAACACTCTACAAATAGAAAAATAGATTCATCCATCTTATCCGATTTAATTTTGATATCTAAAAATGAATCTATTTCGTTCAACGTTTGATTTCGATGGCCGACATAAATCTCATGGGACCCGTCTAATATTACTAAAAAAAAAAAAAGGTCCTACTCTTCTCCTCTGCTACTAGGAAAGACAACTTGTTCATTTAGAAGTGCCAAAACATATTGGATCGCCTAACCATTTGCCCACGTTGAGCAGCCTGAGCAGGCCTTCTTTATTTATTAAAAAGAAAAGAAAAAAAAAAGAAAAAAGGGCAAGTAAAGAGAGAGTTGGCTCTCCCATCTTTTCAAAAAATTTTAAAATTCATTTTCTCAATTTTCTTTCTTACTGCATCTGTTGCACAACCTCAATTTCACTCTATATAATTTTATCTCAAATTCAATAATATTTTGTTTAAATTTTTAATTTTCAAATTTCTCTCGTATCTTAATTTATTATTTTTTATAAGATTTTCTAAGAGAATTGATGGTTATCTTGATGATCCGAAGCCATTCGAGCATTCTTCTTGAGTAGATTGAAAAATATTTGACGAAGACCCTCAAATTGTAGAGGTGGCAAAATCCTATGGTGCTGTAAAAAATAATGCAAAAAATACATCATCAAGTTGTTGCACATCATCTATCTTTTAAGTTTCACTAATTTGTGTTATTTTTCATATTCAAATAATATCAAATAACTCTTTATAAAATTAAATATTAACGTTAATAAACATAAATTTATAATTTTGTGTTGCATTTTTATTCTATTGCATTGCATATTTCGCCCGCATTTAGCCTCCATTTTTTGAAAATGAAAATGGTTGGAGTATGGTTATTTTTTGAAAAATGAATGGTTGGAAAAGAAGGAAAAATTTTCGATTTTATGTGTAATATTATTTTATAGAAGATTGTGTGGTTGAAAATAGGAAAAAGAAAAATAGAATGTAATGAAATGTAATTGAATGAGTACCAAACGAGGCTTCGTTTTAATATCCTATTGCGTTACTTTTTCATTTTAAATTCCTGATTTTAGTGAAGGCCTTGTTTTTGACTTTTCAACAAAAATTTGTATTTATAAAGCTTATAAATTAGTATTATACCCCGGAGTCCAACTATCAATTAAGTAAAAGGAGCCCCTAAAGTTATTACGATTTTAATTCTTTGACGATAAAGTTTTGAGAGTTTCTAGTTTGTACATTAAATTCCTACACTGAAATTCTATGTAGCATGTAACAAAATAATGGGTATATAAAAAATTTATAACTGCGTCCATGCAGCTATTCTTTCAATTAGTTCACTATTAATTCAACGAATCTCGAAATTGTGTCTTACAATATTTGTATTCTAGGCATTGGGTAGTCGTCCCAACAAAGATGATTGAGAAAGAGAAGGGAGGGAATATGACATTGGAGAACACAAAAATATGGAGACAAAAGTTGGGATAAGAAAATGAAGGTTTTCTTTGCTCTAATTTTCAAATTATCATTGAGTTAATATCAACTAAACAAAGTGACCTTGTTTATATTCATATTACCCAATTCATATATTGATAACAATTTTGGTATTTAATTTGACTGATGAATACTAAATCGATGTTGCTTTATCCAACTTTGCCAAATTAATGACATATTGGGAACAACATCATTTAGTTTATCTAATTTATTAGTAGTTTATGAGCACGACCCCTTTTTGTTGAGTTAGCAATGAATTTACTTCCATATGCAATCATTACGTGTTTTCTTTAACATAAATATACCGTAAGTGTACGGTGTCAAATTTTATAATATAAAAATAGATGTCGAACGCATAGGGATTAAATATCAATTTTATACTAAGTACTATAATTGAATATCTCTTTTTTATCTAGAAAATCGAATTATAAGATCAATAATTTTAAACTAATCTAATGATAAATATGGTAGCAAATTCAACAAATAAATGCAAGTTAGAAGAATAATCAAGATAAGAAAATCTAGAGTTACGATTTCACTTAATTATCAAATATGATTCTCAATTATGTAATTACTTCTAATCATTTTTTCAAGGTTAATAAGCAAGTGCCCTAATGTAATTTTACCCCCTCTCTCGTGTGTCGAGTAAAAACTATTCTTATATTTCAATTTCAATATTTCTATTTCGTGGTTTCTAAGTGGAACATACTTCAGAGGAATTATACTTTCTCTTGAAACCTATAATTTCGTAGGTTATATTATTCTAAGATCATGCCTCAATTTCCCCTCTTGAGAATCGAAATTGACTAGAATCAAATAATTCAATTAGTGGCCAATTAATTAAAAGCATTAAATTAATAACACAAATGAACGGAATTAGAAAATCTCCTGAAAATAAAATAAATCAAAATATATTCTTAAATCTTGATTACATCAAACATTGGATGAAGAATTTAGTTCATGGTAAAAGAAATAATTCTACAAATCATGATTAACAATATAAAGAGGAAGAAGAATAAAAACTCTTTTGAAACTTCAATTAATCCCTTTTCTTGATGTTCTTCTTGATCTCTTGATTGATTTCTTCCTTTTTACCCAGTTGAATTGTGCTTGAAAATTGGTTTCTAGATTGGTATTTATGCCTTTTGTAATTCTTGGAAGAGTTGGATTGAAATTGGACTTTTGAAGAGATGAATTAAACTTGAAAAACCTTAATTGTACACGGCGCAGCGCCTAGACACTGCATCTGGATGCATAGGCATTGCAAATCTGGTCAAATTAGTGCTTGGACGTGGTGCCTTGGCATTAACTTTTGCTAAAAGAATACGCAATGTGGCTCCTAGGCGCTAAGGGATGGTGTCTAGATGCTTGCATCAGCTTTGGCTACACTGCACAGCTTTTAATATTTTTAACATATTTTTTCTTTCGGTATCCAATTGAGGCGATTTAAAGTGCTTTGGCAAGATAACTCAAAGTGCTACAACTTTACTTTAGATAGCTTTTTCCAATTTGGACGTTTACTATTTCAAAAATGGTTCTCAATCTTTAACTAAAAATCTAAAACATACTTGTGCGGTGGAAAAATTGATTTGTGAAAATATACTGATCATATTTCACTCATTGTTTTAGTTCAAATTGCATTCCGTCGACTCCTAACACTCTTCGATTATCATTTTGTGGTCTAAATCAACTATTAAAATGTTAAATTGAGTCCTCAAACTTTGGATTTCACCATTTATCGTCATTATTCATTTCTTTCTTTCAATTCAACCTCTAATTATCAAGTTTCACCTAATCAACATCAATTTCTCCTTGATTCATGCAAAAATTACTATTTTTTCTAAGTTTCACACCATCAACATCAATTTATTTAACTTATAAAACACAAACGAAAACCCAAATAAAACAGTTTTAAATCTCCAACAATCAAATGAAATATCAAAATTAAGTAGCATTAATATTATGAGTGAAACACACTCATGAGCAATGCAAATGAAAGGATCGACTTTTATTTCAATCTATTCTTCATCAATAATATTAGCATTAATGTCATACTCAATTATTTGTTCATAATTTAATAAACTGCGCTTAAAAGTTAGATTATAGAATGGTTAGAGAAAAGTAGACCCAAATCATTGTACATGAACCTTCAAATTCACCCTTCGAAGCTAACGATATTGAAAGTGGATTTAAATAAGTAATGCAACTCCATCACTTAACGAACGGAATGTTGTAATCGTATAACAATCATGCTAATTTTTACAATTTTGGTTGACAACATACACTCGACAATATCACATTCATCTATTTTAAAAATTATTTTTTAAATCAATAATCCAGATTTTGACAACTTTAATATTGTCAACAACAAATGTACACATAACTTTATGCATCTTATAAATATAGGCTTCTAGCCGTTCTAGTGAAATTAAAGTCTAGTTCAAGTGATAATAACAAAGTCTTACCAGGTCAATGACTTGTGTTCGAATCTAATTTGACGGAAGAAATGGCGAAAAAAATGGCTTATTGGCCTTCTAAAAAAAGAAACCAGGGTATAAATAACAAGAAGTCAGGCATGAAAGCTAAGTGAAGTGACCAGAGGATTAGGGTGCGGTAACGCCATTTATCCTGCAATCATCTTGACATAAATAATCAAAAAGTTGGGTCAAAACTCCATTAGTAAAATTTAAAGGAACTCTCTAGAATATATCAAAATATGTGGTCCTATCTATATTTTACCAAATTTTGAAGGACTCAATGGATAAATTGCCTTTCAATTTGTTTCCCTTATGTACCAAAATTCATTCCCGAAAGTCCTAATTCAAAAGCTTGGGAACGGCTTATGTTACCCTAAATTGCTTCATACTGTACGAGCCCTGACTGTAAATTCACAAAACCATCTATTATTTTATATTTCTAAAAATTTTCAATTGGTAATTGATTGTCGGGAACGGCTCGCGTTCTAGGACTCCGAATCGAAATTTGATCAATGAATGCCCAGACGATGATGACAACGAGAAAAATTAGTAGCTGCGATATTTGTGAAAACTACAACCTTGCTTCTATCTGCCCTAATTGCGTCAATTACAGGTAAACTCCCCCCCCCCCCCCCCCCACGCTTTAGTTTTTTATTTGTTTGAGTGGCATTTGGATTCAAGTTTATTAACTTACTTATATGACCAGAGCTTCTTTAGTGACATTGATAATTATATTGAGAATGTTAATACTTTTAATCAGCAGTCCGAATGACTTTTTATAGTTTAGGGTCTGAAGCCTCTTGAACATTTGTTATATTATGTCACAAAAGTGACAATAAATTTTTCTCTGTTTATAATTTAATTAACGACTATGCACCAGGAAATACCAACAGACTAAGCCTTCTTCTCAATAAATACGGGTTTGATACCTATCCAAAAAAAAAAAAAAAAATAATAATAATAATAAATAAAAATAAATATGGGTTTTGACTACCAACAGAAAAAGTCTTCTTCTCAATTTCCATAAATGAGATGACAGGAGAAAATATGGGAAATGGGAGCAATTTGTGCAGTATTTAACATGAGATTGATATTGTTTGATTTAAAACTTTCCTCATGAAGAAATTTTTTCTTCATTGGTCAATGTGATAAAAGTTAGCATCAAGTGATCAAGGTTTTGCCCTCAAGTCCTTGTCCTTTTACTTTAGTGTGTTTGATTCACTCATGCTGTACTTCAAAACAAAATGATTTTTGAATTGTATTCCATAAAAATTTTATTCACAAATAAAAATTCATAGGAGTGCGTCTATGTTTTTGCTTTACGAATATGATATTTTTTGGGCATTTCTAATAATATCAAGTCTTCTTGTTTGACGGTATGAAGAGCGGGTCATATTACAAGTCAAAATTTTGAAGAAGCAATAAGCAAAGATGGAGTACAAGGAGTGCTGTTATAGTCATAATGCGAATATGATAATAATGATGGAAAAATAGAAGATCATATGGTCCTTAGTAGTAGGCTTTTTGTTATGTAGATTTGATCATTAATGTGGAAGGAGGAAGTGTACATGTCATGCATAGAATTAAAGGGGATCAGATTTAATGGAGAAATGCTGTAGAAGATGGCCTTTTCACTTGATAAATGTCTTAGCAAATTTTATTGAATGACTGTTAAACAGTCCATGTTTTATAGTATCAAGTTTTTCGTCCATTAAAAGAAAAAATGCACAACACATTAACATAGCAGAATGTGGGTGCTAGAATGAATAAAGAAGAAATGACACTAAATGTTAACATATGGAGGTGGAGTCAATTTCAGACAAATTATATTAAGGACTACGTATATGGTTGGGGCTTGGTCACAAAGGCGATGCTATAACAGTAGAACGAGTTGGAATAGGAAGAGATAGAAGAAACTAACATGTCCTGATTGCAAACTATTAGATCTTATTGGACTTATGAGTATAGTTAGCCTTGGATTGAATAGATTGGAGAAAATGATTATATAACTGACTCCAAGCTCATTGCATAACAGCTGCTTCTTGTTGCATTCAAAATAGTCAAGGCTGTATGTTCTCATGCATTCACAAATCGTTAGTTTGATGCCGAGTGACTAGCAAGTAACAATTTATTTCATCTCATTTTACACCATGGATAATCTTTTGCATACCATGTATAAATTAAAGAGCTTGTTGAAAATTTCTGGCTAAATGCAGGAAGTACTTCATGTTTCCACCAAATGTAAACCTTATGAATTAATGACTATATGTTACATTATATATGGTGGTGCTCAACTGCCCATTTTAATCGGTTTGTAACATGCTTTAGGGTAAAGCTGACGATCAACATGGTTGGAAGGTGCTTCAAAATGAGAAATTGGCGAGGCTAAGAGAGAAGCTCCAACTTCGTAAAGAACAACTTCTGCAAGGTTGACTGCCCATTTAGTCTTAGTTGCACAATAAGGTTTATTGCAATATTCTCCACTTTTATCAATGGCACCTGAAGTCTGATTGATTATTTACAGGGAAGGCTAAGATTGGGAAGATGTCTCGTGATCTTCAAGTAAAATATGAGTTGCTTGAATCAGCACATAATACGGTATTAGTGTTCTCTTTCCCTTTCGACCGCTGATGGTTGATTTGACTGCTATGTTTTTTTCCCTCAAAATCTTCCTTCTGGAATTCCTCTAGCCATTATTGCAGTTTTCTTCAATATCTAAGATATCTTTGTTCAATTTCTTATTGCAGTTGGAGAAGAATTGTGTGGAACAAATTGAGAAATATTATCCTAATCTTATCCGCACACAAAGTTTGGGGCATGTGAGAAATGCTATTTCAATTTTTATTTTCTTTATCTTCCAATATTTTTAACTTCTGGTTAAAAAATGTTTTGAGTAGCGTTTTCTTAGTTACCATTACTTAATTTTCTTGCTAAGGTTGCTGTTGATCAACTAGAGTTAATTACTTCTGATTTCTGAATTGCAGATGGCAATTACCTCTGAACGTTTTCATAAACAATCTGTTATTGTAAAGCAGATCTGCAAGTTGTTCCCTCAGCGCCGTGTAAGTCATAAACCATTATTTAACTATGGAATGAATTGTTATTGATTTACTACAACATAATATTTGTCTTTCATCCTTTTTCGGGTTGGCATCATCATATTGACCATTCTTTTTCTCATCAACACCTGATATAATTTTTCTAGGTAATGGGGATGGGATATAATTCTACAGTTTTGAATAATTTTGATACTGACCTTTAACTTCATATCTCTGTCCATAGAAATGTGAATATGTTTTTTTGAATTCTTTTAGGCTGAGTAAGTTGAGGATGCTTGTTTTTGTTTAACTATTCTCACTTTATTTACCTAAGGTTTCATGACCACTATTATAAAAAAACAAATTCACATAGAAGTTAGGCTGACTTTGTGGATTAAAAAAAGGGACTGATTACGGAAAATGAAATTGATAGCAAAAGCCTATAGAAAGCTGTAAACGTGAACCAAACCACTCCACTACTCTCTCAAATATTGCCTACCTGTATCCCTAATTTCTACCCTTATTTATAGAGCTATTTTCTAATAGAGTTTCCATCCCCCACTGGCCTTTTAAACAGAATTTGATTGCTGCCCATCCTTCTCAATTCTCCCAGATTCTTCTAGAATTCGGGGTTTATCATTACCCGCCGCCCCAAAATTCACCTTGCCCTCAAGGTGGAAGTTCAGCTCGCTTCCAAATTCAAAATTCCATATCGGTGATCCATGTTTGGAGTAAGCTTGTGGCAACTGTTAGTTTGTGTAACTAATCGTCCACCGACCAATAAAATTAATAGGCATAACCGTGCCCTTGTTGCATGTGCCTTCTTCTCCTTGGTTAATTCCTTTACTACCCTTGTTAGTTTATTACGTGAGTTGGGGATCTACCATTACTTGCGGCCCAAAATCCACCTTGTCCTCAAGGTGGAAATTGTTGATGACTTGGTCAATTCATCATGCAACCAAACCATTTGTCTTGTAAGCACTCCAGTCATTGTCATATCTGGAAGGGAACATTTCGACTCCTTCAAATGGGAGGACTTAATCAAGCTATCGCATCCAAAGCAACTCCATATCCAGTTGCTTCGACCGGCAAAATGTTCAGTTTTGGAACCCGGTGAGTCGAAATAAATTTATAGCTGACTGCAAGTGTGTGCTTCTCATGATAACATTGACCTTTCTCCATTTTCAGCTGTAAATATGCATCAGTAAGCCTTTTGAAACTTGATGCTCCTTTGGTCACGATTGCCGAACATGGTACAAAATTGGTGTAGTGTTCGTGTGTGGAACATTCCAGTAAGACGGGTTACATGGGTAGGTTTAGAGATAAGGAGGTTGTGGGCTTAGGTTGTAAGAACTAAATTTAATTTGGTTTGGTGTTAATAGGGGGTTTACCTTCTAAGTTTACTTCTATTTGGGCTAAAATTCAGTTGGGCCTGTTTTACTGTCTCATGCTGCTCTTCAACTCTTTGTGCCAACTTTAAATCAGAACCCAAACCCACTAACTTCCCCACTTTCTCTTTTTTCATCTTAGCCCATCAACTAAGCCCTCCGGACCTCCTACCATTTCACGTGATGATGAAACAGATGACTGAGATCGTCGATGTCCTCCTTCCACGACATGCCCATGCCTCACCCTCATTTGATTCTTGGAATCCTGTATGGCTAGTGTTGGAATCTCAGAGTTCCGCCTATATTGTTGCTTGAATTCAGCTATGTCTTCAAAAATCGCCGGCTCAGGTGAGTTCTCTTCGATCTCTTTTTCCTCTCTCCCTTTCCTGCTCAGCCATGGATTTCTTCTCGTGATTCGGCCAATTCACAGTGACCTATCTCACCTCTGACCTCTTCTCCTCCTCCAGCAACGGCAATGGCGATGTATACCCCGCAAGTGACACTGCTGTTCAGTAATCGCTGTTTCCCAGTTTACCACACTCAGTTTTCCCATAGGCACTTCTTCACGTGAGACCTTAATCACGCGGAATCGAGCCAACATCAAACTCTTCAATTCTTCCCAAGTTTTCACCGGCCTTTGTCAATCGACCTGCTGAAACGAATCTCATGCTTCTCAGCCAAAACACGCTGTGGTGGCCTCTATTTTCTCAGGTTCTAATAACTGATTTCTAAAGAAAATCTTCTCTTCCTCCGACACCCACCATTCTGTGTTTTCGCCATAGAATATTGGTATTTCTAGTTTTCCTTGAGCATCCAGGATGGAATCTTTGTCTTGGACCCCTTCCCTTTGCATTATCCGCTTCTCCAACTGATTGATAATTGAGCTCCATCTCTCCTCCAATTGTTTGCTGAAATTTGCTTCCATTGGCTGTAGGATCATTGCTCTGACATCAATTGATAAGATACCAACTGGGAAGAACAAGTTCACAAGTTGAATAAATGTTTATTTGATTAAAAAAAGGGACTGATTACAGAAAATGAAATGATAGCAAAAGCCTATAGAAGGCTGTAAACGTGAACCAAACCACTCCACTACTCTCTCAAAATTGCCTACCTCTATCCCTAATTTCTACCCTTATTTATAGAGCTATTTTCTAACAGAGTTTCCCTCCCCCACTGGCGTTTTAAATAGAATTTGGTTGCTGCCCTTCCTTCTCAATTCTCCCAGATTCATCTAGAATTTGGCTATCATGTTTGTTGTAAACTGACATGATATATGCACCCATCTTGATGTTATTAATTTCGTTCCGAAATTTTATTGGTGTTCTCTAAGTTTTCTTGGTAAAGGTTGGGGCCTTCTACAGCTCTCCATGCTGATTTCTTTGTTGCAGGTGAATGTAGAAGGAGAAAAAAAAGATGGTTATACTGGTCTATACGATACAATTTGTAATGCACGCTTGCCAAGAGGCCTTGATCCCCATTCAGTTCCATCTGATGAGCTTGCTGCCTCTTTGAGGTAATTTTTCAGTTTGTGGTCTATATGCTCTCAGCGAGTAATGCTAGTTCAAGATTTCTTGTATCGATGTTTGAGATTCAAGTTCATCATTTAGTTTCTCTTGTTGAATAATGTGGAGGGTCACATATAGGGATGAAACAGAGTGTTTGGGATGCAGGCATATGCTGGAATTCCTTCTGATTATATTTTATACTATCAATGATTGTTCCTGTTGTCTTTCATCTTCAAGAAATGTTCTTGATTAATTGCTTTTTATTATTACATGTACTGCAGTTTCTTGGTGTTTTGTTGTTTGAGATATTGTGTTTCCCTAATTGTTCATTCTTGATTATTTGGAAGCAGCTATATGGTGCAACTTCTAAATCTTGTTGTTCGTAATGTCTGTGCTCCTGCACTTCATAACTCGGGTTTTGCGGTATGTTCAGATAGCACCTTTGCAGTACCCTACTTTATATTTTTACATCCGTGTTTTTTGCTTCTGATGTACTTTAATACGAAAATATTTTTAAAGGGATGAAGAGCATGTTTGGCAAAGTTTAAATTTAAATTTAATTTGATCAAACATGCTTTTTTTATCTACGTAGGATTCATCCATTTATTATCAATAAATTTCATAGGAACCAACAACTTATGAGCACTTCAAAGCACTATCAAACAAGCGCGAATAACACTTGGTAAAATTGAAATATGAAATCGGGATTTGAAGTGAACAAGGAATTCTATGGATTACGGGTTTGAAATTGCACTAATAATGTGGAAATTGCAGCAAAATTTGTGAAAATGTGGATCAATGATGCGTATTAAATTTTGAGATGGAAAAATGATGGTCAAAAGCTAAAAGAAATTGCATGAAGCTTTTCGTTGATATTGCATTCAGAAACTTTGTGTACATTTAGCTGTATGTTTTGCATTTATTTCTATTATTATTATTTTTTTAATCATTTTCACTTAAATTAGGAATATTGGATCTTTCTATGTTTACACAGCAACAATAATTTCTCACCCGTCTTCTTTTGTTGCACCAGGGTTCCTGTTCTCGAATATGGCAGCGTAATTCTTTCTGGGATGCACGTCCATCTTCCAGAAGGTTTTGGTTTTGATTTATTATACTGAATTACTTAGATATCAACTCTGACTAAATATAATATATCTCATACAGCAACGAATATCCGCTTTTCATTCCTCGCCAAAACTTTTGCTCCACGGGAGGAGAAACTTCATGGTCTGATAGAAGCTCAAGTGATTTTGGCGTTGCTTCAATGGAGTCTGAGAGAAAACATCGTTTAGAGTCATCTGCTAGAAGTAGTTTCAATTATTCTGCTGCTTCCCCTCATTCGGTAGAAACACACCAGGATTTGCAGAAAGGCATATCACTCCTCAAGAAAAGTGTGGCATGCATAACTGCATACTGCTATAACACATTATCTTTAGATGTTCCTCCTGAGGCCTCAACATTTGAAGCATTTGCTGGGTTGTTGGCAATGCTTTCTTCTTCCAAGGAAGTTAGTTCTGTTTTATCTTCGAAAAGGGCATCATCAAGGTATACACTCAATTTTTTGTCCTGAATTTTGAAAAAGCACTTATACTCTTTTTAGGCTTAGCCAAACATGCTAATAGCCTGGTTTTTAAGAACCATTCTCAGCGATTGTAATGGGTCCACATGCCACATTGGTATTGTTTTCCACGAGTATTGTCTTGTTAAAAATGTGCATAATATGATTAGCTGGTCCAGTTTCGTGCTAATAACAGACTCTGGAAGAGGTTTTTGCTAAGATGAATTCAACTTCTGTTAGAAATTTATAAAACATATTGTATAGTTAATTGTATACCTGCTGTGTACACGACAGGAAAAGGAGGCGGTTATTCTATCTACTTTCATTGAATGATTATTTGATCTCTTTCGTTTTTGTATCAGAATTCAATCCAACTTTATACTATAACCATTGGTGAATGCAATTCTGTTCAAGTACTTCTAAATGTATTTGTCAATTGCTTCTCTGATATAATCTTTTAGTATGCGACTGTTTGGGTTACATTTTTTTGCTCCTTAAATTATAATCAACTTATATGGGGACCCGTTAAGCAGTACCATGCAAGATATTTTTGATTATTAAATTCCAAACTTCAGTGCGCGTTTCCAGAACTGTCAGAAGAGTGATTCCTTTTTACTTTATCATAATACCAATTTAGCCCATCGATTTTCCACAAGACACGGTAAGGGGTTAGATTGAATGCAGGGTAATTTATGAGTTTGGCTCATTTCATTGCATTAAAATATGACACAGAAGACGCCGATAGGTTCAGTTCATTTCACTGTTTAGTGGGTGCTTATATAATTAAAGGAGAAAATGTAACCCAAACAATTGAAATGATCTTTATTTCTTAAGGATTATTTTTCTAAGAAGATGCATTAACATGGTGGTTGCCGATTTGAATTTGCAGGTCATCCAAGCAAGTCCAAGAATTCAGTAAGTCTGTATGGAATGTGGAGTCAGCCATTTCATCGAGCACATTGATGGACAGTTCACAGGTTCTGCCTATAGCGGTATATTATTTAGGAACTGTTTGCATATCTGTAGAAAATTTATTTTTACCAGGATTAGAACAGTCTGTAGAATCTGAGCATGAATAAATGGTCTATGGGTGCATAAATACTGGTTGAAGCATATATTAGTTATAATTTGACTAGTATATAGTGTTTGGACTATGATACTTCCTTTTATTTGATATGATTTTCATGTATCCACCCTCGCTGCTCCTCAAATGATGGAAATTGGGGGAGAGGGGACAGGGTAGGGAGCGCATTTTGTGGGTTTTTTTTGATGTTACTCATTGGAATTTAACATTTAATTGACTTGAGTTAAATGAATATTCATTCAAGGAATGTCTTCCCAACTAAACAAGAGGGTTTGTTTCATCAGAGAATGATTCATCTGGGGAGTTGAGATTAAAAAAATGAATTACTTTTGTTTCGGTCCCTCTTGAGCAGTGGTCTGCTTATGGTTGACAACCTTCTTCTCATTCTGACTGAACTTGTCATTGCTGTTAGAAAGGAGTGTAGGATTGGTATGGGTCGCGTGCAGGCTGCTCCATTTTTGTTTTCTATAAATAGATCAAGGAATCATCCTTCTGTTAATGTTGGACATTTCAATTTTGTCATACATATGTAGTTTCTTTTTTCAAAATATTCAACATGTTTCAATCCAAACTTCCGAAAAATTTTCCATTTAGAAGATATGGAACATAAATGCAAATGATTTTACCTCAAATTGGGGGGTCTCTGGAATTATATCTCTGATGGTTGAAAAAGTCCACCGAGTCTCCAGCGACCAGAAGAGAGGGCAAGGAACTCCCACTTCCCCCCCCAGTTCACCCCCCGATGTGAGAACGAATGTCTTCCTAGAGAGAAATATTGCAAGTATTGAAACTAATAACATGAGAATAGATCTTGAGAGAAATACAATGGGATCATCTCTTATAAATAGGACATGACCTTTATGATGTTACACAGAGATCCTTAGGTACACGTCACATTCCCGGATGTTGGATCTGGGGTGAACCTGTCCTATTTCTATGGTGTAGGGATCTACGGACATTTTTTAACGTTTTTTTAGAGTTAGATATAGGGTAAAATTGTCTAATATAATACTTCAGGGATCCACGGATACAGATTTTGGATAAGGAGGCAATAGCCTTTGGTCTAATCTTTTGTATGGTGTTGACTCTCGAAATTCAAGAGTTGGAGCGATCGAACCCTCTTTGATTAACTCTGTGGTTTGTGTTTTACCTGACTGCACTCCCCATAGGGTAGGGGTTCGAGGTGGTCGGGCTTACCCGGCCCCCCCCCCCCAAGGGGGTGTTTTGGGGGTGTGGGTGCTGGTGTGGTTCTACTCGGGCAGCTTGATGTCGGCTGAATTTCGACCGCTGCCCCTGCATGGGGGTGGTCTCCGTTCAGGTTGGTGTTCAATGCGCTTCTTTTATGATTTTATTTTTTGACTAGCTTTAGGAGTTACTGATATAAACAAGGATAATTTTGAAAGATATTATCTTCTATAAAAATCATTAAATCAATTTAGATCACAATCTTTTCTAGTAACGTATATTTCTTAAAAACCTGTGTTTTTCTAAATATAATAAATTGGATCACTTTTTTAGAAACAAAGAATTAATTCATGTTTAAAAGTTTCTGGGTGCATATAAGAACTGTTTCCAAAAAGCTTTCAAATACTTTCCATTGTTTGTTCTTGTGACACTGTTCGAGGAAGCATAACTTTCAATCGTGTATGATTTACTATAACTTATGGTCACTACCTTGTAATATGCTTTATATAAGAGCAACACAGATCCCTACATTTATTTCTCTTAAGAACTTTACACTTCTGTGCTTCTTGGTCAGGCTCAATCTATATTTCTTCTCCTGTCCTGCCATTTCTCTATTTGTCTCCTTTCTCTTGTGCACAAGACATGCATGTAGTGCTAAATTGATACTAAACATAATTCTTTTTCTTCAGCTTCATTATTGTTGGCAGTCAAATGATCTGAACCCAGGAGTTGTCATATCGGCCAACAGCTGTCAAATGACCATTACTATTTTACTAATTTTATGATTTATGGAGTTTATCATCACTGTTTAACATGTGTTAATTATTGTATATCAGTAATGTTAGTCCCTATATGAGTTGTGTTTCTCCAAATTAAAGGATAAAATAAGAGTAAGCGGTTGTCCATTTTCTCAAGGTGTGTTATTGCATAGGTAATCGCTACAACTGTACAAATTTGATTCTTGATTTTCATCTTTTGTTTAGCTTTTCATTTGATAAAGGTACACCTACAGAAAGAATTAATCTAGGATTTCATGTTTTTGGGTAATAAATTCTAGTTTCTTTGGATCCCATTGTTGATGGGATAGCTCCAGTTATACATGGATTTAATGTCATGACATCTTGTTCTGATTCAGTTATTCGTATTCTACTAACGTACTTCAGTCCTCCATTTACTTGCGAAGATACAGAAGTTTTTAAGAGCTCGTTTTTTCTTCCTGTTGATCAATCAAAATTATGTGAGCAGATGCTAGGGCAAATGATTTGTTCTCTACCAAGTTTTAAAGCTGTTCTAAGAAAATGTAATAATGTTGCTTGGCAAATTCAAACGAATGACATGGGTTGGAGAACTGTGTGCTGCATTTCACCGTATTTTGAGGTGTCATTTGAGTTGGAAAGTATGTTAGTTTGATTGGTTCTCACATTCTCTTTAGAAAATGTTGTTTAATAAGGTTATCACGTACAATTTAAGTACTATTGTCTTGTTTGCACAATAACTTATATGTGATTGTTTTCACCTCTTCAGAGAAATGCATTCGATAACCAGCTTCCAAGTTCAGCTGCAAGTTACCTTTTTGCTCCTGAATTTTCTGATATGGGGAAGAATGAAAACCTAATTGAAGGATGGGATATTGTTGAGCGTCCTACATTGCCGCCGCCTCCATCACAAACGGAAGATGTAGAGCATTGGACTCGAGCAATGTTTATTGATGCAACGAAGAAGTGATTCTAAGTTTCAATGGCCGACTGCTTTTGTAAGTACATCTCAAGCTTAAAAAGCCATTGAATGCATATATAAATTAGGTTTCAATTCCTCAATGCTTAGGTTTATATTGCGCAATTTGTAAACTTGGTAAGCACTATTTTGAAATTTTACTCTATAATGCTTTAGATAATTAGTAGGAATTATTTTCTACTCTGAACATTGAAGAAACTTTTCTTAGCTGGCTATATATTGCGTAAAGATAGATGCTATTTGTTCCATGTATAGTTTTTCCAATTATTCTACAAGCTAACTTTTTTAAATCTGAAACTATAAAGATTGTGTTAGATAACAGATCTTGCACTTATGTACACAGATTTTTTATTATACTTAGCACATTCCTAGTTTCTATTGAAAAACACCATTAGAGCTTATAATTTCCGATTTCTAAGGTTTCGGATCCTAATGAAGGACATGTGGATGGAAGTATTAGTAGTTACTCAAATTAGAGTAAATAAAAAATTGAACTTTGCAGTATTAGGTAGTTAATTTGATTTAACCAATAAAAGGTTTGTCACCACTGGATTAAAAACCATGGAAACACCATATTAAGTTGAGATGTTACTTACCGTTTTATTCTGTGCTCTTTTTATGGTTGACAAGTTCAGGTTTCAGCTTTGAATTTATGATTTTTCCTCCCCTTCCTTTTGGAGTTTCCACCATCATTGAAGATTTTTAAGTCATGAATCCGGTCGTCCACATTCAGGTTGCCATGGACCAATTAGTACATCTTTTTGCTGGCATGAAACAGCACTAAAAAGTCTCCAGTCTTGCTGCTGCTGTTCAATTTTCTTACCTAGAATTTGGTAAATAAAATCTGACGTCTGACTAATCAACATAAGTTGTTTATATCACTCTTAAGAGTGCCTATAATTTCAAAAAGGTCTATCTTTAGTCTGTCAAGTTCCAATTTTAACACACATCTTATTTTTTAGTTTTATCAAAATGTAGTTCAGTTTGTATCATATCCTGACAAATTGCTATAAATGCCCTTGACCAGTGAAGTTGTGCCATGTGCACGTGCAGGAGGGCAGTAATTCACCAGCCTTCGTTTTAGTTCTTCTAGAGAAGAAAATTAACCCTGCAGAAGTTGTAGCACTAGCAAGTACTTTTTACAGGAACTAAATTGCGAATATTTTTATTTTTATGTCAATTTCCTCATGCACATGAGACTACTTAGGCATTTCCGTGTATTTCTTATTAGAACTTTACAAATTAGACCATATGGAACAAATTCAAAATACTTAAGGACTAATGTTTTGAATTGGAAGTCGAACATATCTTATCAAGGGGACCAGTGTGTTTAATTGGAACTTGAATGCATCTTCAGAGACTAATTTGAGATTATCCTGTGAAAGTTCTACACATCTTCATCATCAAGTGTGCTTACTGAACATATAGTTCTCTTATATTGAGCTTTTAAGGAAAACCACAATTATTTTGTGTATTTTTCTTTCGTTGCTATCTGTGAAATTTTACCATTAACTGAACTTTCCATAGTTTACGAAAGTTAGTAATGATTATATTATGACATCTGGAATCTCAGAAAATACAAAATTTGTTAATGAGCTTTTCCATTATCAGGAGGTAAAAAAATATTAATTCATCTATTGTCACAGTGAATATTTTTCGAAATTCATGGGTTGATTGTACATTTATGTTTAGTTTATTTCAGAGTTATTAAGGAATCTAATTTTACATCTTTGTTTTCGTAGGATGTATGAGACTGACAACTGTTCAGTAGCAAGACTGGCAGTACGAAAAGCCTGTACAGTTTCTCAACCGGTCTGATTTTAACATTCTATGCATGTAAATACAGAGTTTTAGCAATGGTATCTAAATTTAGGTTTAAAAAAAAAAAAAGAAAAAAGAAAAAAAAGAAAAAAATTATCGTACCATATGTATAGTAGTGCATACTTAGAATGAACAGTAGTAATAATGTTTTGTAAGCGATGCAAGAGGAAATTTATGTCTCTTTTCTGCTGTCAAGTGTTTGTGTGTGGGTTATGGAACAAATTGTATTAGTGATCACTCTCTGTAGTCTATATAACTGAGATACTTGGTTTTGTAGTTATAACTCTTGTATGCATTTTGTTGCTGGAAGACCTTTTTCCGGGTTACTTAGGTTTGGCTTCTACTATTATGGAAAGTTTGGCAGTATTGTTTATGAATTAGAGAGTTAAATGAAGTTTACAGTGTGTAGTGCATTTGGTCTAGTACTTTGTACCAAACTTTAGCTGGATTTGGAGAGGTTTGATGTCAAGTATAGCCGGTCTTGAATTTTTGATCGCTGATATTGGTCTATTTCGGCATCTAATATCCTGTATAGGGCATAATTGTTGTTTTCTATACGAAACTTGGCACACGGGCTCGACTTTGCCTTGTATGGTTTGGGGAGGCAAGACTGATTGTGCGAGTGAAGTAGTGATGCCATTAAGGTAAATTATGGGTTTTGGGGATAAACCTGACTTGGTTCGGTTGGAGCTCGAATGCAGTTTTTAAGATCTTATTGTCAATGGATTCTTGAGGAGTGCAGTTTGTTCTGGAAATCCCTCTCTCTCTCGAATATCTATTTTTGCTGAGCATGTATATATGTTACGCAGTGAATCCTTGCGACTTCCACCGTGATCACTATCATTGTTAACATTTAAGAAGTTATATATTTTTTCTTATTATTTTGTTCGATATTTCATCAAGTATCTAGTTGAGCAATGTAGCAGAATAAATTTTAGGTTAATTATATTATTGTTACAAATTTTATTAAGTACATCACAATTTTCTTATTTACTGAAATATCCTCAAGTAAAATTACATAATTGGGAGTTTAATACACTCTTTAATCAAATAAATTATTGTTACACTACAAAAATAGAACCTAATTTCTTTATTTCTTTTTCCTCAACATCTCATTTTTCTTAACTTTTTTGACGGCTTTCTTTTCTTTCATGGTGGCAAGATAATTTTCTTTTCCTTATGGTAAATGAATACATACTCAATTTGACCATATTCTTAATTTTTTGTTAAATTCAAACAGATTTATTATGAATTTGAAACAATCAAAAGCATGCAAGTCTATTATCTTCAATTTATTGTGAATTTAATACGATTATTTTCAATATATTATTTAGTATGCTTCATATCAATTTATTATGAATTTGCGTGTTTTTAAGTACGATTTTTTTCTCGTTTATCAAAATGCATGTATGATAATTTTTAATTGTTAAATGAGTTTATGAATTTGCATATACTCATCATATTGTCCATGAATTTGCGTGCATTCATTATGTGATAGCATACCCAAGAGCTATTTATACCGTCACCTATACAGGTCACATATAGCTGAGGTGGGCGGGGGCGGGGGCGGGGGCGATTATTTAAAAAAATAAAATTCCCCCCCTCCATGTGTGTGACCTGTACAGGTCTGTATAGTCAGCCTTTTTCCTATTTATATGTACTGTGTTAGTCATAATGGTCCATGAATTTGTGTGTACGTAGGTTTATGAATTACCATGCATTATCTTTTGTGAATAACTAAGGTACCTCAATATAGAAAAAATGTGAGGTGATTCTTTAAACTAAGTTAGATATGCTAACCATTGAAAGGGATAAAGCTTCATGATTTGCTGATGGTCTATTGTGCTTGTTTATTGCTATGATTATGGTTGTCCTCATCTCTAGTTTTCAAGTATTTTTACTACTAGAATTCTAATTGCATTCAAGGGGAATTGGTTCTAAGAGTAATTTATTAAAATATGGCCTCACTTTCATATGCAGAATCCCCTCATTGAATTTCCGTATGAATATGGCATGGTGTTCTTCCTCGATCTTCCGTTTCCAATGGTTGTAAAATAATGAGGGGAAAGGTTGAGAAGATGAGGATGAATATTGGTGATAAGTACACCACAATATTGTATTTTTTTTTTCACTTTTTATTTTTTTGAATTAGGAGTATAATTGTAATTGTATTGTGTGGTGTATTTATTAAAAATATATTTTAATTGTGGTGTGATTATAATGTGGTGGTGTAATTAAAATTTGTAATCGTCATATAATTACTCTTTGATTCTATGCATGCTCAATTACGGATTATAAATTTCACAAATAATTAATGTATGTATTGGTCACGCTAATGAGATCATAATAGGAAAGTATTGCAATAAAGAAAAAACTAAAGGTGAATTAACCTCAACAATGAAACCTCCGTCGAGCCTATTTCCTTGTTGAAAAGTAAAGTGCTTATCAAGAAAAATTACTCTCCTTTTGGAATCCAAAATTTACATTTCTCAAGTATTATGTGCACAATCTAACAATTTACCACCTTTTTTATACTGTAATAAAAGAATTAATATTTGCTCCCGATATGTAGCACTTGCTAGTGTATAGAAGCAATTCATATCAAAATTGGCAGTCTTGAAAGGAAGTTGATCCCTTCCTTGTAAGTACTGTACATTTGTGAAATCGATTGGTATATTATGAGTAAAAAAATAAATAAATAAATAAATAAAAATTCTATTGATACTAGACGTTCATGCTCTCCAATTAAGAAACCAAGATATAGAAAATTTGCTTTGTCTTCTGAGTAATATATTCAGCCGACTAGTCCTAAACATCAATTTATGTGGCAACTATTGATATTAAATGATAAATTTATTTAAATGTAATATCATATGATTAATTTAATTGAATCCATCAAGTGTGATCATCTACATTAGTGCTTTAATACCACATATGTTAGATAGCTTTATTTTGATTTTCTAGAGAACAATGTTGACTAGAGCTTCAAATATGATTGACTATAAGTCGAGCAAGTTGAACTATTCCCTCCGTCCCAATTATATAGGCTTGTTTCGTTTTCCACGCGGATTAAAAAAATCTCCTTTAATGTCATTGAAAAATTAATTTTTGTCAAGATCTTTCCTAGTTTACCCCTATTTAATTTTCAGTATGTAGTAGTAAATTATTGTTGGAATTAATAAATAATTTGAATGATTTAATTTGAAGAAGAAGAAATTAGAGTTGTTCCATGTTTCCAAGAAGTGAAAATGTGTGTATTTGGATGATTTCACGAAATTGCATATTAAGTGGGGAAAATTGTATAAGGGTATATTAGTAAAGGAACAAAACAAAATATTCTAAATTAGAAAACAAGCCTATATATTTGGGACAAGAGAAAAATGAAACACAGTCTATATAATTGGGACGGAGGGAGTACTATTTTGCATATTTAAGTGATTCCAAACTTGTGCATTAATTAGGAATGGCTTGTGAGTTCTCACATCTCCACAATCGAGAAGTTCAAGTCCTTGTTTGAGCCCCCGTTTTTGGAAAAATAATATATTCTGGAATAACGTTTTTTTATTTGGAGAATTTGATAATAAAAAGTTTTTAATTTACGTGTAAATTTATTTTATTGAAGAATATGTAGTTGAAAATAAATTTATGATAAAATGGGGTTCAAACCAAAACTAAACATGTTAAAATAGTGGAAAATGGGAAGAGTCAATAAATAAAGGAGTTGTTTCCATTGGAAGGAGATGGTAGAAAGAGTCAATAAATAAATGGGAACGTATTAAAACGACTGATTCATTTGCTTTACCCAGTGACTGTTTTTAGAATAACAACAGTTCCGAAAAGCCAATGCACGATAATAAAAGCACCTCAATTCTTACCCAATTCTCAAACATCATACTCCCTCCGTCCCAATTATATAGACTTATTTGTTTTTCATACGGATTAAGAAATCTTCTTTAATGTCATTGAAAAATTAATTTTTGCCAAGATCATTCCTAGTTTACCCCCATTTAATTTTCATATGTAGTAGTAAATTATTGTTGGAATTAGTAAAGAATTTGAACGTTTAATTTGAAGAAGAAGAAATGATAGTTGTTCCATATTTCCAAAAAGTGGGAAATGTGTGTCTTTGGATGATCTCAAGAAGTTGGTATATTAAATGAAGAAAATTGAATAAGAGTATATTAGTAAATGAACAAAACTAAATATTCTAAATTAGGAAATATGCCTATATATTTGGGACAAGTGAAAAAGAAAACCCAGCCTATATAATTGGGACGGGAGAAGTATTAAATTTCTTCTAAATTATCACAAAAAATTTCCAGATTTAGCATATCCATGCTATTCTCTACGTATGTAATCTTCTCCTTCACCAAAAAGAAGCTAAGCTCCCAATATAACTATTACAACAGTATCCGTGGAAATATTCCCAGTCTCATCCCTTTTAGTACACATTCATCAATATTCCTATCGATTTCTAACTTGTTATGGCTAGTTCCTAATTTTCCACATCATTACAGAAGCAACTAAAACTTAAAAACTAAAATGATATCATCCTCTGTGTCCCTTCTTTTTTTTTTGTAAAGATGAAGAAAGAAAATCTATTTTCTCGCCTATTTACTACAGCGATAAAGAATTAAATTTTCAATGTATTTTTTTCCTTTTTCTTCCTATGCTGATTGAAATTATACTTATCTTTTCATATAATTTATCCTTATGAACTATCTTTTGACACTTCTTAAATGGTGTAGCTTGTTACACGGGTCGTGGTGCGACCTTCAATTGTAAACAAACAAGGCGTACTTTGAAAATTGGAAATATTGCTGATATTTTGTGAGTTTGTTGTATATGTTAGAAACTTGAGAGGATTGTTTAGATTTAAATTGAGACTATCGAATCTAGCAAAAAGAATTTCAATTTCTTGGTATATTGAATTTCTCATCTTCTTCCACATATATCTTTTGTTCTTTTGTGATCTATTATTTTTCATATTGCTCAAATTTTCTCACCTTTATTACTTGGCCTGTGTAGTGACCCGAGTCTCTATATCCAAACCATTGACTTACGTACTGTCCGCTTTGGGTGAGCCTTACGCCCACTTGCCCCTCACGACTTTTTGTCGCGTCCCCTAGGACTTGGGGACCCCATAAGCATTACTTGGTCAATCTTCCACGCGTCCAAACGATTCATTCTCATCTGAAAGGTATTATAAGAGTGAGTATTTTGAAAATACTCAGTAAGAATATGTACACATTCTTATTCACATGATATAAATATAAAACTGACATAACGTACCAACGTTTCTTAGATTTAGAGCTCAAGAAATTTCTTTAGAATCCACATATCCCGTAGGATTTAACATCTTTGACCAAATGGTTCA